TACTACTACTATTACTACTACTACTACTACTACTACTACTACGACTACTACGACTACTACTACGACTACTACTACGAATACTACTACTACTACTACTACTACTACTACTCCTACTACTCCTACTACTACTACTACTACTACTACTACTATTACAACTATTACTACTACTACTACTACTACTACTACTACTACGACGACTACTACTACTTTCCGCAGCCATTTTGGCTTAAGCCATTTTGGCTCAAGTTGCCATCTCTCGAGGTGGCGCAGGGCCAACAGCGCGCTCCAGGACTGGCCCGGCCCGCGTCTCTGGGGTCAGCCTGCGAGCATCTCTTTCTGCTTGTGAGCACCTGGCGGTGCCACACTCTGTACGCAACATTCTCTCTCAGAAGCAGTTTGCCAGAACGGCCCGTCCTCCGCCATGGCGAAGGCCACAGGGCCAGCGGCGTGGGTTCAGTGTGAGAAGTGTGGCCCACGCTCTTGGACTCCTATTGCTAGCGGCAAGCTGTGGTGTCATCTTTGCGGGCTCTACTATAACAAGGGTGATCAGCCTCACCGTGGAGCCCGTCGCCGCAAGGGCGGTGGCAAGAGCGCAGGCGGCGGCATGGGCGCGGGCGGCGCAGGCGGCGCCGCAGGGCTCTCGAAGCAGCAGCTGGACGCCATCGCCAAGCAGGTCACCGCCATCGCAGCGGCCGCCAACTCAGCCCAGCCGCCAGCAGCAGGCAATCCTGCCGCGGGCGCAGCGCCTGGCCACGGGAAAGGTTCGCGTGGCACAGGCAAGGGCAAGGACACGGCAGCGCCCCCACCAGAGGCGCCTGCCACCAACGACAAAGACAAGAAGATCGAGCAGCTCGAACTTCTCGTCAGCACCTACCAGCAGATGGACGCCACCGTCATGCCCGATGTGGCCGCCAAGCTGCAGCAGGCCCGAGCGGACCTGGTGGACGCGCGCGCGGCGCAGGCAGCCAGCCTGCCGCCTGCGCAGCGCATGGCGCGCTGCCACACGCGCGTGCAGCGCGCGGCCGAGAAGGTTGAGAAGATCAAGCACCAGATTTCAGAGCTGGAGAAGACCAAGCAAGAGCTGCAGTTGCAGCTCGACGCCACCAACCAGTCCATGGAAGAGCAGAAGAAGCGACTCGAGCAGGCCCAGGAGGACCAGCAGCGCGAGGAGCAGGACGCCAAGTCAGTCTGGGCAGACACTGCCCCAGATGAAGGACCTGGCTCGCTCGCGGAGTTCACCAAGACATCCAAGGCCAAGATCGCGGAGGCCAAGACCAAGTTTGCAGGCAATGCAGACATCCTCAAATTTATCAACGACATGTCCAGCATGGTGGGGGCCCTGCCTGAGAAGGCAACACCGCCGCCCCAGCCATCCTCGTCGATTACGGATACCCCGATGTTTGATTCCGAATTCTTCAAAGCCGAGATGGAATCCCTTGCCAAGCACCTGCCCAAGAAGGAGCTCGAAGCCCTGCAGAAGGCCCGTGCGACGTACCAGGACCAGCAGGCCGCAGCCGCGCGCCAGCTGGGCGGCCCGTCGAGCAAGGGAACTGGCAGCGGACGCGGCCACCGCCCGTATGGGTGACGGCTCCACTCCGAGTTCGAGGACAGCATCGACTGAGCGCTGTGCAACGGCGACATGCGGTGCCTCCCTGACTGAAGCTGACTGCCAGCCAGTTTCGCCTGCGGCCATGCCAGCATCTGCCAGTGCTGGGAAGGCCCCCCCCACTTCCCTCCGCTCCTCTTCTCCTGACTGCACCCGTTTCGAGTCTTTTAATGGGTCTTCTTGGGGCACCCTCAAGAAGCGCCTCCTTGAGCTTGCGTGGGGGCCCACCAAAGTTTTGTTTGCTCAGGAGGTGCACCTCGTGTCAGATTTAAGCATAGCCGAGGCCTCAGACTGGGCCAAAAGGCACGGCTGGAAGAGTTTTCGGGCCCCGTCGGTTGCCACTACCTCTTTTGCCCCCTCAACGAACGGTTTAGGGGATGTAGGTTCGTCAGCTGGGGTCGCTATCTTCGTTGCCGACGATCTTGGGTGCTACACACTGGAGGAACCCGCGGGGCCCCCTGGAGGTATTTTGGTGCCACACCGAGTCATTGGAGTCGTTGTGGAGTTCCCCCAGACCTCGGGCATCCTCTGTCTATCTTTGTATGGGCACGTGAGTCAAGGCCTCTCGCCAGACAATGTCACCATCCTCGAGGCTATCGCCGATCTGGTCAAGGTCTCGGGGCTGCAGTACATCATAGCAGGAGACTTCAATATTACTC